CATTAGGATTGATGTTATTTGTTAACGTCAAACCTAATTGATCTAGGACATCTCGTCCCCACAAATTTATAGGAAGATGATCCAATACATATGGCTGTATAGTTCCTTCACATCCTTCAGGATCCTTCCAATCTAATACCATTGCACTTCTATGGGGATTAGTCGCCACTCCTAGGCCTCGAAGCGTTTGAGTGGCTTGTTGTAATGGCCAATGTTTTGGCCATTCTTGACGAGATATGATGCTAAGGTCAGCTCCTGTGTCCAGTAGCCCATTAAACTCATGACCTTGAATATTTAGTTTTAGCATTGGGCGAGAATCTAAATTTAAAGACAACATAGCCCAATCTACACCTGTGGAGCCTAATCCCCTGGAACCTCTTTCTACACTATGACTAGGAAATTTATTATGTAGGCTGGGTATTATTAACAACTGTGCTATTCTATCTCCAGGTGAAATTACTGATATACCTCTTGGAGAACTAGCTATAATTTTTATTTCACCTACATAATCGGGATCAATTACTTATCATAAGTCCTTTTAATGTAGATGAACTACGTCCCAGTAATAAGCCTACTGTTCCTTGGGGAAGAGGTCCTTTTACTCCTGTGGGAATGATTTGAACTCCCATCTCTGGAGTTAATACTGCTCTGGCAGAGGCACAGATGTCCAACCCTGCGCTCCCTCGGGTTTGTCTGATGAGGGATTTAATGGACAATGTGTCCTGGGCACTACCCTGATGGTGTTGCTGGGATCCTCCACTGCCCCGTATATTTGTGGTTGTGGGCCCCGGAGCATTGGGCCCCCCTGTCCGTTTTTTGGCAATGGAGCCTGATGCCTTTCTCCACGATATCTTGGATAAATACCTGGTCTTTGTCCGTTTTTTGATAAGGGAGTACCTTCTATGGTGGTTTGAGAACGGCATTCATTAGCCCAATGTCTCCCTCTACGGCATCGTGGGCAAATACCCGGTATTCTATTCCTTTGATACCTACTTTTGTTAAACCCTCCTCTTATGGGGCAATTCCTTTTAAAATGTCCTGTTTGTTCACAATCATAGCATGTTTTTGGCCTGGCATCTAAAGCCTGTTGTACTGCAGCTGCCAAGACTTGCCCTTGTTCATTAATATCTCTACATAATTTAATATATGTGTTTAAATCTTCATGTCTCCATGGTCTAATAACCTCTCTGCAGCAACGATTTGCTTGGTCATAAGCCAGTTGTTTTATTAATGGCATTGCTTGTTCTGTATCCCCAAAAATTTTGGCAGCCGTTTGAATTAGCCTATCTACAAAGTCAGCGTAAGGTTCATTAGCTCTCTGTATTACCTTAGATAGCTGACCTTGTAAATCTCCATGTCCTTGTAAAGTCTTCCATGCCCTAACTGCGTCTGCAGCAATTTGTGCATATATAGCAGGATCATATTCAATTTGTTGCCGTTGACCCTCATAAGGTCCTTTTCCTAACAACATATCTAGATTTCTTTGAGGGTAACCGGCTGCTGCATTTCGCCTAGCTGTCTCCGCACAAAATTCCTCATTGGCAACCTTCCATAACAAATATTGTCCTCCATTTAGTACAGATTTACACATGCTAGCCCAATCTGCTGGCGTCATGTCCAAGTTAGTAATGGACTCGACCATGCTTACCGTGAAGGGAGCTTGGGGCCCGTAGGTTGTTACAGCCTCCTTTAACTGCTTCACTGTTTTAAAATCTAAAGCACGGTGAATTCGCTGCCCTCCTGCCTGTTCAAGTACAGGGCATGCTAATCTTTGAGGTCCTGTCTCAGGATCCCATTTATCAACTACGGGGTTTGAGGGCCACTCAGCTGTCTCCATCGGTGGGGCTGTTGGTTGAATTATGCCCTCTTGTGATAAAATGGAGTTAGTAACAGCCTCCTGTTGTGGCCTTTTTCCTAACAACCCCTTTTCCTTTAAATTTTCTTCCTCTGTCTGACTAGCTCGAGAGACCTTCTCTTTTGCTTGATCTAAAATGTCTTTCTCCATGGTCTGAACCTCTAACAATTTACTTAACATCTTTTCGGTTTGTTTTTTACTAATTTCTAATCTACTATAAAGATAACGCAACCCAATAAGATAGCACAAAACAAAGCCGAAACTGAATGAAACAAAAACGGAATAAAAAATCGTTGTATCAATTTTCTCTTCCTCAGGGCCGACAAACTTCAAACCTTTAGTCAACCATTTTTTCCAGTTTGCCTGAGAAATTTCTAGGGATAGGCAGCTTGAAACAAAAACAAGATAAATCAAAACAATAACACATTGTTTTTTGAGTTGGTCACCCATTCTTTCGCTCTTCCTCAGGGGCGAGCAATTTCACTTACCTCCAAGCTTCAGAAGTTCCCCGCACGGGACGCCAAATGCCGCAGTCTGGCTGGGCACACAATCACGAGCCACCACACAGCTTGTAGATTCAAACAGCAACTCTTTATTCCCGAACTCACACCAGCCGTCTACAATCACGTTCTGGGGAAATCCACGTTCTCTGCCCAAATCCACGTTCTCTGCCCAAATCCACCTCCACTGGGCTTCTATCTCCCAAAATATACTGTCTGAATCCCCTGAGAACTCAAGGGGAACTCAGGCAGCAGGATACGCCCTATTCCCAGCAGGAATAATCTTAAACCTTAAACCTGGAACCTAAACTGGGAACGCCCTAAACAAGATTATCTTAAAACCGGGAACACCCTAATCTGCCTTGGTCCTTGAGCAAGGTTAAGTACATTCAATGTCACTGCAACATGGGGTACGCTGGCAAGGAAATTGTCATACTTACTTGGCTAATGGCTCCCAGCACTGCTCGATTCGCCTTCCTTGAGGTCCCCCCAGAGGTCTCCTAGAGACGTCCTGATGGCCTCCCTCATCCCAGGGCCCCGCCTGCCCTGCCCCCCACACCCCAGGAGGCCTGGAGGGAGCCAGATGTTGGGGTGGGGGATTTGGAGGGAGAACGCACAGGACAGAGACCAAAGAGTCGATGGCAAAAGCCCAGAAAGGTCTGTGGTTGGCATCTCTCTGGGCACCAAACCTAACGGCCCTCCACCGCAGCCACGCCCTCTCTCGGGGCATTCTGGGGTGGCTGGGCTGGGCCCTTCTCGTCCACAGTGTGGTGGCTGGGGCTGCCGTCCCGTGGGGACTCGACTGGGCAGGCACATCCAGGTGGCCCTGCCCAAGGCTGCCCGGCAGGAGGGTCAGAAGGCTGGGCTCAGGGGATGGTTGGCGCCCTCTGTCCCCACCGCCAGCCCTTCCACCTGTTCCCTCATCTGTGTGAACCACAGACCTCGGCCCCGCGTCTGTCGGGTGCCCAGCTGTCACCAGGGGCTTGGTGTCAAGTGTGGCACAGCCAGGGAGGCCCTGCTGTCCCCGAGCTCACAGTCTGGGGGTCCCACTAACGAAGGCCCGTTTCACAGATGCTGAATCGTGAGCAGCTACGAAGACGGCCCTGGAGGAGGCACGGGGTGGGCGGGAGCCCCTGGCACCACCGTGGAACCTTCTGGAAGCAGCCCTGCGGCTGGGGCTGTGGGAGGGGGTGGCTCCAGGGACAGGCCACAGACTCACACAGGCACGTGGAGAAGGCTGGGTGCTGCTGAATGTCCCTAGGAGCCACCACAGGAGTAAAACACAGGGGTGACCGATGTGACTCAGTGTGACTGTGTGTCAGCGAGGAGGAGGGAGGGGGCCCGGCCTAGGGCAGGGAGCAGCCTGGGGAGGCCAAATCGTCCAGGCTTGGCCGGTGAACTTGGGCTGAGAGAATGGGAACCGGGGGATGCTGAGAATCAGCAGCAGCCAGCCTCCAAGACAGACAGCTGGAGGGACAGGTCCTGTGTGGCAGGCGCCCTCCTCGCCCCCAGGCCATGACTGCATGGCCAGGGGCCGAGGCTGGTGGGAGCCCTGCACTAGGTGGGCCCGGGGAGCAGGTGTGGATAGCGAGGGCCCCCACCGCCCACACCCAGCTCCTTCCTGTTTTAAAACAGGTTCCTGCTGACCCCTTTTCTGTCTGAGGGGCCAGCTCACTCCACGTCCAGGGCCTGCCGGGCGCAGCAGCCTGGGGGCAGTGGTAGCGAGGGGAGAGAACAGCACGGGGTCTCCCTTATCCAGCTCTAACTCCGGGACCCTCCTGAGCCTCCATTTCTTTCTCTGCAAACTGGGGCGCCTGGTCTGGGGAAGCAGAGCACGGCCGGGTGGCCACGGCGCCTGGACGGGCTCACCACCGACACTACTGTAGGCGTAAAAGCCAGGACTGTCTCCCTGGGCGGGTTTAGGGCCCACACTCACACACAGTGGGACCCCAGCCCCCTTTCAGCTCAGAAGCAGGTTTGAGGGGCAGAGGAAAGGGGCCAGGAGAGGGACCCAGCCCACGCCGGGGCCTGGGAGTCCGAGGGGAGCTGGAGGGAGGACCGTCCAGCCCCAGGGAGGGGGGTGAGCACAGGGTGGGGGCGGGGGGAGGTGGCCGGTCCCTGGCCCTGGCCTGGGGAGGGTCTGGAATGGATCCCCAGGCCCAGCACAGAGCAGAGGGGACTGGGGGTCCTGCCTCGGAACCCTGGGGTGTATGGGTGGGCATCGGGGGCTCCCTCTCTTGGCCTCTCTGGGGACTCAGACCTCAAGCAGCACCAGGCTCACAGGTGGGGCCGGTGGACACGTGGGGGGGGGAGTGAAAGGTTTGGCTCAGTTTCCCTTTGGGAACAAACCCCTCCGCCCTCCCGCAGTTCCCCGGGGTTCCAGGCCCAGTCAGTCAGAATCCAGAGCCTTCTGACCGCCGTGATTGATTGCCTCACACTAAAGCTGCCCAGAGTAAACTAAATTCATTAGAGTTTAGTCTGGGACAGACACTTGCTCTGTTGGCTTAACTTGAACTTGAAAAGATGAAGTCCTAAGGACTTGGCTGAGAATAAGCCAGCCCGCAGCAGCCCAGCCAAGGAGTGCGGGGAAACAGGCCCCAACGACGTCATTGGACCCCCTGATCAAGCTGCACCTGAAGTCATGATAGTTTCAAACGGGAACCATGTATTTATTTTCTGCTTCAGAAGCTTGAAGGGGGTTTTCTACTTGCGGCAGCAGAGTCCTGACGGGCAGAGCAGGAGCAGTGGAGGCTCTCCCAGGAGGATGCGCTCAGGGTCCTGGAGTGAGCGGAAGGCGGCGGGGAGGGCAGGGGCTTGGAGGACACCACAGAGAGGAAGAGAACCGACCTGTTCACATCGTCTCAAAGAACCAGAACGAGGGGCAGGGGAGCAGCTTCGAAGGCCCTGTTTTGCTCAGCCTGACTTTCAGAGAAGCAGGACCTCAGTATCGGAGCGAGACCCTGACCCTGAAGGTCAACAGGGGTGGCCAGCAGCCGTGAAGCTCACGGAGGGGGCCTGGGGCGAGTGGGCGTGGGCTGCCCTTGACCTGGGGCCCCTGGGCCCTGGGAAGGCAGGAGCGTGGGATCAGGACCCGGCCCAGGGCGTCCAGCGGAGACGGTCAGCCAAGCTCTGCAGCCATCGCGAAGAGACGTCACAGGGAGGGGACAGGCCAGCCACCGAGCCATCGGGCTTTGGGCAGGGACCCCAGAGGGTCAGGACCATCTGGAGGGAGGGCTGGGGCACCTGGAAGGCAGACGGCGGGGGTGAGACTGGGACAGGCACAGCCCGCGGCTCACTCCAACCTCCCGGCCTGGCCCCGCCCAGGGTCTCCTTGCTCAGTGTGTCCCACCTCCGCCCCATGCGGCTGTCACGGAGCTCAGGGCTCAGGCTCCCCACGCTCTCCCGCTCTCCGGGGGCAGGACCCGGGCGTCCCTCTTCCTCCCGCCCACCCCGTGTGCAAGAGCCTGCTGAGCGGTCAGCGACCCGGCGCCCTGCTCTCAGGCCTCCTGGAAACAGTCCCCAGGGCAGGCTGGGCTCCGGCAAGTGACAAGATGGCCGGGAACCTGAGGGTCCTGCCCTACCTACTGCCCGCTGTCCCCGCCTGAATGTCCCCTCAGTGACCCGGGGGCAGCTGCTCAGGGGCTGGGCGTCCCCTTCCACCAGGGCCCGCTGGGCAGGGCCTCACCTAGAGGAGGCTGCAGGGGCGCTTCTGCTGCCGCGTGGGCTGGGGGCACAGGACGGCGCGGATGGCCTCGTCAAAGACGGTCTTCAGGCCCCGCTGGGTGAGGGCCGAGCACTCCAGGTACTTCACCGAGTCTGGGGAGGGGGACGGCAGAGGCCTGAGCCCGGGGTGGGAGGCTCTCCTGACGACCCCGCCCAGGCCGCACGGCTGGGAACTGCCCGGGGGTCCAGTGTGGGGTCCAGTCCCCGCGGGGCCTCTGGGCGCTGTGTGACCCTGGGTAGGGCATGGGCCTCTCTGTGCACTTTAACCTACACAGCAGCCACCGGCAGGCCTCTGGGTCCCGCCCCAGGATGCAAATCACCCAGGAAGTCGGAGGCACCTGTGCCCCCCCCCTGCCAGGTCCCCAGACAGCGTCCTTGGCATCGTCCCCACCTGCAGAGGGAAACTGAGGCCTGCAGAGGGTCACCGCTCACCCCAAGTCACGGGCTGGATGCTTCCCTCAGCCCAGGGCTGCGGGGCCTTGGGCGAGGGGAACAGGGACTGGAGAGCCCCTCACAGCAGGAGGACGGCCTCCTTGGGTGGCCACTCAGGGCAGAGGCTCTGCAGCCAGCGGCTGAGCCCACTCCCAGGACAGTGCTCCCTGACCTTCCAGAAGGCGCCCGCGTGTCCACTGCAGCCCAGGGGCTTCCCCTTTGGGGGCCTGGGGAGGGCAGGGAGGGGCCCCACCGTCCACTGAAGCTGCTGTGGGCAGGAGGGGACAGCCGCTGGCCAGCCCCTGCCCGTGCAGGCGGGACTGTGACCGTCCCCAGACAAGAGCAGCCCCGAGTCGGGGGGTCAGGGCCGCAGACACAGCTGGGCAGAGGGTGCTCCCTGAAGTCCCGGGGACAGCAGGAGGGGCAGCCCCTCGAGGGCTGGGAGGAAGGGGTGAGGACCAGGGAATGCAGGCTGGGGGGAACGTCACTCGCCCGTCACCGCCCAGCGGTGTCCCCAGGCTTGGCTCAGCCGGGGCTCGTCACCATGCCACTGTGTGCTCGGAGGGTCTGGACACTCGGCCGCTGCCCTCTCCAGGGCCTGCCACCTCCCCCACCCCCCGGCTCAGTGGGACCAGAACAGGGGACCAGCCAGAGGGCTGGAGCGCTCTAGGACTGGCCAGGCCCGACCCCAGGCCCTGCTCCCTCTAGGACACACTGACCCAGGACGGGGACGGGAGCTGCCCAGGGCAGGGGCCAGGCTAAGGTGGCGGGCAGCCAGGCTGCCCAGGTTCAAGGCTGGGCCCCGCCACGTCCTGGCTGGGAGGCCTTAAGCCAGGGCCTTCTCCTGAGCCTCACAGTCCCCTCCGTACAGGGGGGTGACAGCATCCTCCCCCCAGCGGCTGGGAGGCCTGACACCCACCGAGTGCTCAGCCCACGTCCACATGCTCTGCAGTGGGATCTGTGGCTTGTCCCCAGGTCACCCTGGCGGCCAGAGGCAGCCGCTGTCCTCCACCCAGGGTCAGCTCCTGAGCCCAGCTGGAGGCCAAGGTGGGGCCCTGCCTCCTCTCCTTGAACAGAAGAAGCCCCTGTGGGGGACTGTCCAGAGGTGCAGATGGACAGACCGAGGCCCAGGGGCAGCCACCAGCCCGTGGCCACAGCCAGTCAGCGCTGAAGCCGGGACCAGAACCCGGCCCCCAGGGCCCTCTGGGAAGGGACTCCAAGAGAGGACGCCGGACAGTCACTGTAGGGGACAGCTGGGGGGGGACCGGCAGGGCCAAGTCCCCGCATTGTGAGAAGAGCCTAGTGGCCAGGGCGGGCCAAGACCAGGCTCGGGCAGCAGGTGGAGCCGGGAGGTGGCCGTCCCCACAGGAGCAGGAAGGAGGCAGGCCACTGCGGTTTCTCTTCCTGTGAAGACGGGCGTCCGCCCATTTCCGCAGCTGGGGCAGGGCCAGGGGGAGGTGCAAGCCCCCGGCCTCGGGAGGACGCTGTGGCCCAGGCCAAGAGTGGCCCGTCCAGCTAGTGGCCTGATCGGGAACAACAAGGGACAGGGCAGAGCCACCAGGCCTGGACCCCAGGGGCAAGGTGCAGGCAGCCCCGCCATGATGAAGACTCCACGCCCGCCCCCACCCCGGACAGCAGTTTGCCCTTTCAGGATCTGATCCTGCAGGCCCACGCGGCCACTCGGGCTGGGCCACTCTGAGGACGCAGTGTCCCCTCTGCCCAGTGATCCCTCTGGGGGCAAAGAGGAGCCGGCTGAGCAGCCAGGGCTGGGGGGAGGAGGAGCAGGGCAATGTGTCACCTCCCCAGGAAGCCAACTTGACTGGCTGCCCGTCCTCCAAGTGACCACAGCCCGTGTCACCCACTCCTGCTGTCTGGGGCAGGCACACCCCCTTGTTTCCAGGGCCTTCCTGTGGACACGGTCATCGTCCAACATTGCACTGTCCTGCTGCCTGCTCGATTCAGTGCTCCCGCCCCCACATGAGGCAGGAGCCATGTCTGACAGGCACAGAGAGGCTAAGCGACTAGCCCAAGGCCACACAGCACAGCCAGAGTTCAAATCACGTGGCCTGGCCCCAGGGCCAGGCTGCTTTGGGGTGCCCCCTGCACCCAGCTCCCCTCTCTGAGCCCAAGCCCCGTACCTATCTCCTTGGCCAGTGCCAGGCCCTGTGGGTACGTGATGGGTGCCAGCTTCTTCTCCTTCAGCCTCTCGATGGTGTCCTTGTCGTCCCTCAGATCCAGCTTGGTGCCCACCAGGATGATGGGGGTGCTGGGGCAGTGGTGCCGCACCTCGGGGAACCACTGGGCGGGTGGCGGGATGCGGGGTGCAGGGCGCAGGAAGAGCACCAGGTGACATGGGGAGAAGGTGAGAGGGGCCACGTTGTGCCAGGAGGAGGGCCCAACGGGGACCACGTGGTTGTGGGAAGGGGACAGGACAAGGTCAGGGGGTCGGGGTGAGGTCGCTGGCCCAGCCCCTGCAGGCCCCTCAGTCTCACCCGGTGCCACCCCCGCCAGCCCTGGTTGGCACCAGAGACCCTCTCTGCCTCTGCCGCGGCCTCTGCTGCCCGGGAGGCCTCCAGTTGCCAGTCCCCCCCAGGCCCCTGGCCCTCAGGCCCCCTGCCCCGCAGGCCCCTCTGGCCAGCTCACCTTGGCGCGGACATTCTCGTAGGAGGCCGGGCTGACGAGGGAGAAGCAGATGAGGAAGACGTCCTGCAGGGAGAGGCCGGGTGAGCCACAGCGTCCACCGGCCCCACCTGGCAGCCATGGAGGGCCGGCCCGGGCCAGGAGGGAGGAGCAGGGCGGGCCCTGGGTGCTGAGGGGTGCCCAGGGCGGGGACAGCAAGGCAGAGCCAGGTCTTGCCCAGGTGCCCCTGGTGAGGGACGGGTGTGGCCACCCAGAGTCCACGCTCCTGCCCATCCCCAGCCTGCCCCGGAGGGAGAGCCGAGGGCAAGGGCTGGCACCTCGGCGGGCGTCCCCAGCTCCACAAACCGGGCTCCAGGGGCCACCAGGCCAGACGGGAAGGGCCTCCCAAGCGGAGGACTGGGGGGCACAGGGCCCGGAGCGCGAGGAGAGCGGGGCCGCGCACCGTCTGGGGGTAGGAAAGTGGCCGCAGGCGGTCGTAGTCCTCCTGGCCAGCCGTGTCCCACAGCCCCAGGTTCACGGGCTTGCTGTCCACCATCACATTGGCTGAGTAGTTGTCAAACCTGTGGAGGAGGTACGACAGGACAAGGTCAGCCTCGAGTCCAGAGCCCCGACATCCACTGAAGCCCTGCATCGTCCCATTCAGAGGATGAACACCAGAGAGGGGCGGCGACTAGCCCATTGTCACACAGCACTGTGCAGTTGGGTTTTCTTTATTTTTTTCATTACTGATTCATTATATTTAAAAATCTTTTTTTTTTTTTTTTTTTTTTGGCTGGGAGTGGTGGCCCACGCCTGTCATCCCAGCTGCTCGGGAGGCTGAGGCAGGAGAATCGCGAGTTCAAAACCAGCCTCAGCAAAAGTGAGGCAGTAAGCAACTCAGTGAGACCCTGTCTCTAAATAAAATGCAAAGTAGGGCTGGGGACGGGCTCAGTGGCCGAGGGCCCCCGAGTTCAACCCCTGGTTCCAAAACCTGACAAAGAACATGGCCTCTCCATTGTTTCTCTGCCTTCAACTGTGTTTGGCGAGACTTTGACAGACTCCCACAAACTCCCTCCTAGTCTCCATCCGTATAAGCGTCACCCGCCTCCTGTGCCGCACACCAAGGTTGTCACCCGGTGCCTGTTGAATGAATGTTCATCCCCGTTTTAGGCTGGGACCCCCAGAAGCGACCAGAGACAACGACGTCGGGCAGAGGCCCCGGAAGATGTGAGGAGGGAGCCGCAGGAGGAGGAAGGACGCAGGCCGTATGGGAGGTGCCAGGGGCTGTGACTGCCGTGGCCTCGGGTGCTCAGGCTGCTGGGGACACTGGGGGACAGTGGGGACCAGGGGCAGGGCCTCCTCAGAGGGGCAGGAAACTGGGACTCCTGTGGGCAGAGGGCTGCCCTGGGGCCCTGCAGTGCCCAGAGCCGCCCAGTCACCAGTCCATGGCAAAGCCTGATAGGAGGCCAGACAGGGCGAGGAGCCTGAGAAGATCGGGAAAGGGGAAGTCCTGGGGGCCCTGGGAGGGTCCAGCCTGGGGCCTCGAGGGTGTTTTGGGGTAGGCTTGGGAGAGCAAGTTCCCAATACACACGCGACTAGATCACGCTGAATCCTCATGCCAGAGAGAAGAAAATGCATCAGAGAGGCATAGCAACTTGCCCAAGGTCACCCAGCCACTGAGAGACCAAACTAGCTGAGAAGCCACGTTGGGATAACTCCACATCCAGTGTTCCCAGCCCCGTGCCCCAGCTGTGCCTCCAAGGATGCCCTCATCACCTGCCCCTGAGGGTTAGGGACCACCCTCACCTCACTGAGGTCCCCCACACAGGCCCTGCTCCTCATCTCCCGAACTCGCCCACTGAGGCCTCGGGCTCCCCTGGCCTCCACCTGTCTCTCCCCTTGCACAGCAGCCAGACTGCTCCCAGGGCAAGGCTCGTGCTGCCCGCCTCCCTGTGCCCGTCCATGAAGCACCCCTGCCCAGAACGCCCAGCCCTGCCTCAGCTAATCCAAACAGCCCTGAGCGTCCTCATCTCCCACACCCTCCAGGCCTCCCTCCCGGGCCTCCTCTGGAATCCGCTTCCCCCACATGCACTTGCTTCCATTCCCACTTCAGAGCCCGTCCAGGCACTGCCCCCCCCATGAGGACCTTCCCTGCCCCCGCCTGAGAGAGCCAGGGACCCCTCCCTCGGGTGACTGGCCTGCTTGACCCTGGCCATGAGCCGGCATTTGTCACAGCTCTGTCCCCTCCAAGGCCGGGCTCCCTGTCGGCCAGGCTCGGTCTGCTCACCCCCCCTGTCTTGGGCTGAGCCCAGCAGACGCAGCTGGAAGGGAACCAACCCATCCCCACCTCCTGGGGCCAACAGAAGGATCCCAAGGGACCGCGTGTAGCCCTCACCTGGGAGGTGCTGGGAGCTGAGCGATGGCATTCCTCGTGTCCCTAAGTGCCTCCCACGGGCCCTCCCAGAGGACAGCTGTATGTGACAGTGATGTGAATTCCTGGGGTCCCCCCCTGAGGTCCACAGGCGACCAGGACCAGAGGACCCTTGCGCAGGACCCTGGCTGACCCCACTCCGGTTTTCCAGATGAGGAACCGAGGGTCATGCGCAGGAAGGGACAGGCCCAAGGTCTCCCAGCCAACTGGTGACCGAGCCAGGACAAAACCCTGTTACCCAACTCAGAATCTCTGCTATTTCATGACTGGAGACAGGTGGGGACAGTGAGGACAGTGGGGACAGGCTCGGAGGCCTGGCCTCTGACGGCAGCCCAACCTGCCACTGTAATGCAGTGAAGGAGGGTAGGTAAAGGAGGGGTCTGCAGCCAGGTGTCACCTGGCCACCACCTGAGCCTGCCCTGAGTATGAACAACGGTGTATTCAAGGAACCCAAAGACCACAGGTCACACGAGGCTGGTGACTCGGGGACTGGGGAGGATGGACCAGGCAAGCAGGGCCATCAACCCAGCAAGGACTCGGCTGCCGGAGGCTGGACGTCCTGCTGCCCATGGGAAGCCCAGGTTTGCTGGGCCAGTTCACAGAGAGGATCATGGGGGAGGTAAAACCAAGTTCCAAGGAGTCGGCCTAAGTGACTTCTCAGGGCTCTGCCTGCCCACCCTGCCAGGTGCCAGGTCATGGGCACCCGTGATGCGCTCAATTGTTCTGGAAGCTACTACTCTGTTCCAGAATCTAGAGGAAACTGGACAGCTTCAGGGCCCGTCCTCAGGAAGCGCACCCCAGCAAGGCTGCCCAGCCCATGAGCAGGGAGATGAGTTCCATCGGGACCAGAGGAAAGTCCAGCGGGTGTCAGGAGCCCTGCGCAGGGCCTGGGGGAGGCCGCCCTGTGAGATCGTCAAGGAAAATTGAAACCTGGAGGGGAGGTGGAGATGAGGCTGGGGGCGGGGGACAGGAGATGGGTGTTAAGTGTGAAGGGGCCCCAGGAGGGATTTTAGGCCGGACTCTTTCACCTTTGAAAGCTCCAGAGTGATTATAAGGAGGCGAGGCGGGAGGGACCCTCTACATCACAGGCCCCGAGGGCAGGGTCCTGCCTTGTCTTTGTGTCCCCAACTCCCAGCTTGGGACCATCCAGGGAGCAGCTTCAGTCTCCCCGTTTGTGAAAACGTGCAAAGATCTCAGGGGCCCCGCTGGTTTCAGTATCAGGTGTAAATATAAGCCACCAGGCTACCAGCGCCAAGGCTGCCCCTGTAGTCCCTGTCTACACTGCGCAGCGGGATCCCCTCTAGCGGGATGCGGAGGAGAGGATAGCGAGAGCCAATCAGGGGGCAGCTCTGCTGGTCCTGGCTCCTGATTGGCTGGCTGGCCGCGCAGCTCGCTCCCCGGAGAAGGAGAGGAGGCCACAGATTCAGGTCGCCTCGGGGTGTTAACCCCCAGCCGCTGGCAGCAGCCCGAGCTCAGTCCCCAGGCTCATCGCATCTTGTGCCCGTCCCAGAAGCACTCCCCGACCTTCTGGCGAGCACCAGCGCTCTCTCGCTCTCGGGGGCCGCCTGCTTTACCGAACCCACCCTCTCTCCTTCACGCCCTCCAATGCCAAGTGCCCAGCGTGCCTTCTCTTACCCTCCCTGTCACGGGCGCACGGGCATTGGTGGTAGCGAGACCCTCTGGGGTCTTGTCCAGGGCCGAGCAACTTTGCTGGAAGGTGGGCGGCATGCAGGGCCCCCAGATAATATGCAGAACCCAGTGGACAAGGAAAACTCAGGGCCCGTTGACAAAAATAATTACGAGATTCAAGGGGGGGGGACATCGGAGCATTAAACCAGGTGCAGGACCCTTCTGAGCATGGAGCCTGTGGAACCACACAGGTGTGCCCGGGGCACTGCACGGTAGGACGCTCCAGCCCAGCCTCTGAGTGTCCTGAGCAGCCCAGTCCTCTAGGGGCCACCAGGGACTTCAAGTTGCTCAGAGCAGGGGGCCCAGGCCTGACCTCAGCGACCTCAGTCCTGTTCCCTTGCACAGGGAGGGTGCCCGGCCTGGCTGGGACCTCCTGCCCCTTCCTGTCCCTGCCTCTCACAGATGGGACCTGCGGCTTACGGACTCGGAAGGGGGAGCAGCTGCTCCAAAGTCCTTTTGCAAGTGGGTCCTCCAACCCAGCCAGGACAGGGGCCGATGGGGTCTCCAGCCAGCATGCAGGGAGGGGGACACCGGCAGGGACAACACACTCCTGGTGACAGTGGTCTCCAGTGGGAGCCACCTTTCCGGTCCTGCACCGCCTCTCTACTCAGGTGCACAGCTGGCCCTCCTCTGCCCTCAGAGGGGCCGAGAGGCGTTCACTGGCTGACGGCAGGGACGAGGGTCCTCCTTCCCTCTTTGCCGGTAAGGGCAGGGTGGACAGGGACGCCCACAGACCCAGGAACCAGCAGGGGCAGCTTTCCCGGCCCTGCCCAGGTTTCTCTGCCCTCACTGCATGAGCCCTGTGTCCCGGGGACAGGCCCCGTTGGAGGGAGCCACCCTGCCCTGCAGCAGTGGACCAAGAGGCTCAGGGCTGTGGGCGGGAGGCCCTTGGGGAGGGGGCAGTCTCTCCTGTCAAGGGGGTACTGAGGCACTGACCCCTCCTCCACCTCCGTGGAAGAACCTGAATCCAGCTCCTGAAAGAGGGTCACACTGAGGCCAAGAGGGAAGGGCCCAGCCCTGCTCTCCACAGCCCCGCTCTGAAGCCAGACAGGCCTGGCTGACTCTGGGGGCAAGTCCCTTAGGGGCCATGAGCCTCAGCTCCCCCATGGGTACACTGGCCACCATAACACCCACCTCCAGAGAAGGCTATATGCCTGTGGCAACCCGTGCACCCAGCACACAGTAGGTCCTCAGTGGGGCCTCCCAGCCTCTCCCATGAGGCCCAGTGAGGTCAGTGGAGTACTGTGCATGTCACGCTGTGGGGGACCCTGTGCTGGGACATCAGGGAGGCCCAGGAAGAACCAGCTGTGGCTGCCTGTGCTCCACATGGTCATGGAGAGGTGGGAAGCCACTCTGGAGGGTGAGAGGCTTCCTGGAGGAGGGGCCTGGGGTGGGCCCTGGGGGCTTGGGCAGGTGGGCGTGGGGGGGCACCGCGCGCTGCAGAAGAGCTTAAGCAAAGGCCTGAGGTAGGAGTGCCCGGGACGTCTGTGCCACAGCAGAGCTCATGGACAGAGTGGGCGGCTGATGGAGACAGGTCCTTGACGGCCATGCTGGGCACAGGAGCTGCCCTGGCTGAGGGACCCCTGACACCTGCGTGCTCCTCCCTCCACAGCGTGTGGCCGCCCTGCCTGCACATCTAGCAGCAGAGGGCGGCCTCCGACAGCCACAGCGGGCACTGCCCTGCTCCCACGCCAGCCCCTGCTGCAGCCTCTGCAGGCCGCGGTGTCGAGGCCCAGGGCGCCCTCCTCCTCCGCCCTCTGCTTTCTCACCAACAGCTCCCCTGCCTCCCACTCCATCCAGCCCTGTCCTCCCTGCCCCTCTGTGGGGGACCCGCGTGCTCCCTGGCACCCTCCCCACCACCCGCCTCGTCCGCTCCGTCTCTCCCTCCTGGGCCTCCGCAGGCTGCTGCCTCCCCAGGGGGACCTTGGGGCAGCCCCACCAAGCCAGAGCCTGGCTCTGGTGCCACCTGACTGCCTGAGCCCTGGATGCACCCAGGGGTCTGTCCCATGGGAGGGGCCTGGAGGGGGGCCTTGGGGACGCCCCGCCCTGGCGGGCACTCACACGGTGGGGATGTACTCTCCTGGGAAGGCGTTGGTGGTGTAGCTGATGAGGAGGCAGGTCTTTCCCACGGCTCTGCAAGACAGGAAGCGCGAGAGGGCGTGTCACAGGCTCTGTCTGGGGCCTGGGGACATCTCCGAGTGCCTGCCTGGTCCCCCAAGAAGACCCAGAGTCTGCCCAAGCCCCGACCTCTGAGCCTCAGTCTCCCACCCGTGACACCCCCTTCAGTATCAACCCCAGAGCCTGCAAGGGTCGCCTGAGGTGTCTGTGCGTGCAGACTCTCGGGCCCCAGAGATTCTGGTCCGCGGGTGTGGGCGGAGCTGGGGCCCCGAGGTGTGGGTCATGGGGACAGAGGAGCAGGAGTGGGGGGTGCCGGGAGACCATGCCATAGGGGCTCTGGGCCTGACTCCGCCTGTGTCCCCACACTCCCAGCCTCAAAGCCCAGCTCCACCAACCACGGGTGGGCAATTTTAGGCAGTCACCAAAACCCCTGCCTCAGTTTCCCCATGGAGAACAAGGGGATGTGTTCATCTCCCGGGAATGCGCTGATGCACACAGCAAGATGTCACAGCCACGGCAGGTGGTGACCATTAGGGGAAACTGCCCCCATACCTCCGTCCTTACCATGGAACAAGGCAGTCAAGGACACAGAGTTTTTTAAAGTCAAAGAGACCTGGGTCTAACTCCTGTGCAGGATTTGGCAAATGACTTAACCTCTCTGAGCTTCTGTTTTCCCAACTATAAAGTGGACTTGATATTAGGGAGCATAGTATGCAGGGGCCCTGCTCAAGCCCAGGGCTGGCACCCAGCGGAAAATGAATGGCCGCAGCCCTTGTGGGTTGTCCCCCATCCTGCTGGGCCAGCAGACGGCAAATGTAGCTCAGCCAGGAGCAGAAAGGCCAAGGGGCCTCTCTGGGCCTTCCCCTGCTCTGCCTGGTTCCGTCACTTCCTGTTCCGAGCAGGCTGCTGGCCCTCCCGGGGCCTGCCACCAAAGTACCTTTGAACGTTACCCTTGACTTCCGCCCGCCTGCTCAGATCAGATGCAAAGCAGAAGTGAGCGGTGGCTGCGGCCAGATAACGGCCACCCGGCCCGAGTCAGCTGAGGGCGCCTGTGGACGCCGCCCCCCCAGGAGCCACGGGCAGGACTGGGTCAGGCAGGATCCCCAGGCGGCCCCTGCATGGGGAGCTGGGCAGGAGGCCAGGGCCAGCCAGATACCTGGGATGGACCCGGGGCCACCTTGGGCTGGTTCCCAACATGTGCGGCAGGCTTGTGAGTGACAGGGGACCTGTCATTCTACAGATGAGGAAACAGAAGGCCACAGGGACAGGACAGCCCAAGGTCACTGAGTTCCAGCCGCTGGGGAGGGCCTCAGCCCAGCTGGCCCCTCGGGTCCCCACAGTCACCCTGCACCTCCTGCCGTTCTCCTTCCCTAACTCTGCACCCCTGCGCCCCCCATTCTGCTCCTCACCACCCCCCCACATTCCCCCCCACTACAAGCTGTGGGGGAGGTAGGAACGCACCCGACAGGGACCCAGCCCCGGGCTCCTCTCCCGCCTCCCCACGCCTCTTCCCAGGGCGCTTGTGGCGGTTCAGGGAAGGGCTGGGACCTGCCCAAGGCCACATCCCCTCACCAGCCCTCACCAAGCCAGGGCCTAGACCCCAGGCCAGCCTGGGGACAAAAGCCAGGCTCCCTCCTCCTGGCTGCATCTGCAGAATGGAGACAGGGGCTCGCATCCCTGGACACCTGCCCCCAGATCTTGGGGTGCAGGCCAGCAGCCCTGGCCACCCCCCACTGTCCTGTAACCCCACCCAGGCGGCTTTGGGGGTGGGTGGGCCCCCTGGACCCTGGGAGAGGCCTCCTCCCAGCTGCGGGGCACCAGGCAGGAGGGATGCAGGTAGGGGCTGTGAGGAAGTTCAGCCAGGTACCTACCCATCTCCCACCACCACACACTTGATGGCCTGCATTGCGTCCGGGCCTGAGGGACGGCAGTGACAGCTCAGGGCAGGAGAGCTTCCCCAGGCGCCAGGGGTGTGCAGAGGCTGGCAGGTGCCCCAGCAGCAGCGAGGAGCAGCCACCCACAGCCCAGGAGCAGGAGGAAGCGGAAGGGGAACTTGCCCAAGCCGCTGCCCCCACAGCCTTGCAGGGGGCGGGGCGAGCAGTCTGGAGAGGAGCAGGGGCCCCTCAGGTGCCGGGCTGAGCCCTGGCCACCCGTGGGCACCTCGGGTACCCTCTCCACCAGGAGACTGGCTACCCGACCCAGGGCCAGGGCCAGAGTTGTTCTCCAAGAACAGGGGATTTCCAAGCATTCAGTTTGCCTCGGTTTGAAGCATGAGCATTTAATGAGTGTCTACTGGATACCAGGCCCAATACCAGGAGCTGGTGATTCCAAGGGCGAGAGGCAGAGCGCGTCCCTGTAGAGAAGGAAGTGCCTCACCACAGGCGTCTGCAAACAGGGCAGGACGTGACTGAGGGATCTACAGGGAGGGGACCTCAGACTCACCTAGAGGGAGAGGCGGGACAGCGGGGGGCCTACAGGTGGCACCGAGCCTGCATTTGAAATGTGGTGTCCAGGAGAGAGCACTTAGGGTGGGGGCTGCCTGGGCCTACTCAGGGCATCCCCCAAACTAGGGCCCAGATGAGAGGTGGGGAGATGAGGCCAGAAGGGGAGGCTGGGGTCGCTGGTGGGAGAAGCGACGGAAGGAAAGCGGCTGCGCGTCCTGCTTGAGCCAGGCCTGCCCTGGAGACCAGGGGCTCTGGAGCAAGGCACGGCGGCCTATTTCATGGATGAAGAAACCGAGGGTCTGAGAAGCCAACACCACCCGGCCTGAAATCAACCTGGGGCCAGCAAACCCCAGGCACTTCTGGCACCGAGCTGCTGTCTGGTGGGGGCGAAGGCTTTGGGGTGAGGGTGTGTCCCCCTTATTGCCACTGCTCACAGCCAGCACCTTCCTAACTCCAGGGAGAAGGGGCAAGAGAGGGGAAGGGAGATGGAGCCTCTAGCCCAGCCCCCACAAGCCAGGAAACCTCAGCAGGGTGCAGAGGGCAGGGCCTGCGGGTGCCAGGTGCCCCTCCCAGGGACCCTCCCTCCCAGGCCTTCTGCACTCGCCTCTGTGCCCACCTCTATTCCCACCCACTACCAGACCCCGAGCAACCCCTCGCCAATCCCTAAAGGAGTTTGTTTCCTGGACTGGACCAAACGGAAAACGACCCCCAGTGGGAAAGTGAGATCCAGACCAAGTCTGAGCTTGGGTTCCTGGTGTTGTCACCAGCGCTCCCTTCTTGGTTTCGACCAGGGCACCCGGTGGTCACAGGAAGGGGCGCTGGGAGCAGCTCACCTTGGTGAACTCTCTATCCTGGAAAAGCTCCTCTATTTAAAGAAAAAGAGAACGTGCTGGGGGGCACAGCTCAGGGTGGGACACAGGCTTGGGCTGCCCAGGGCCTGGGCTCAGCCCCAGCACCGAAGCTTCCCTGGCTCAGGCGTTTCTGAGACCCCAGCTGGCTGCCTGCGCCTGTCCGTCCCGTTTACTAGGAAGGACGTTCCGAGTGTGGACGTGTCACGTTTGGTCATTCATTATTTGTCTTCTTTTGACCAAACTCCCTGAATCACAGAACCACAGCCCCTGGGCTGGCCTGGTACCACTCCTGACCTGCCCTGGCCCCGCCGGTAGACAAGGCATACGCCCAGTCCCCGCTCACACACCTCCAGTGACAGGGAGCTCAGTGCCTTAGGGGGCAGCCTCTTCCATCCCTGGCTAGCCCCATCTGTTAGAAACCCTTCCTCTTTTTCAGCCCAAATCCACGTCCCTGGATCGGCCCTCAGAGATCCTAGTCCTTGTCCTGGGGCCACTCGGAATCATTAACTCTCCTCCCAACTCAGACCTTAGGATGTGGGGAATTTGCTGGTCCATGTTGGACTTTGTGGAGTTGTCTTTTCTGGTGTATAATATTCCTATCTGTGAATGTCTCAAAATGTCTTTACCCAACCTGCAGCTAAGAGGTCTTAATGAGGGGCTGGAGATGTGGCTCAAGCGGTAGCGCACTCGCCTGGCATGTGTGCGGCCCGGGTTCGATCCTCAGCACCACATACAAACAAAGATGTTGTGTCCGCCGAGAACTAAAAAATAAATATTAAAAAAAAAAAAAAGAGGTCTTAATGAGGGCTGGGGTTGTGGCTCAGCGGTAGAGCACTCGCCTAGCACATGCAAGGCCCTGGGTTCCATCCTCAGGACCATATAAAACTAAAATAAATACCGTGTCCAACTAAAAAATAAATATTTTTTAAAAAGAGTTCTTAATGACTTTTGATGTCTGAGCCATAAACCATTCCGTGAACGTCTGTGGGCTCCTGGGGCTGGTGTGAGTGGTTTCTAGGGAGAGGATGGCAGAGCCGAAGGGCACTTGCATCTCTCACTTCAACAGACAGTCCTACCTCATGCTCTAGGAGCCCCTTGGCCACACTTGGCCTTGAAGCTACTTTGGGGTGTAACTTGGTATCAAATGCAAATTTTCTCCCTACTGACGGATGCTTTTCAAGCAAGTCTTGCTTAGGACTTCCAAGCCAATGTCATCAAGATGTCCTGTACTTTCCTCTAAAGGTTTTACAGTTTTGCTTTGCATAGGGAGGTCTTACACTTGGGGTGGATTTGCGGGGAGACAGGGATGGGTTTGAGTTTTTGAGAGATGTGGGTTTAGTTTAACGGTCCCCATGACCAGTGGTTCCAGTACCACCTATGGACAGGGGCACCCCCCGTCTTTGCAGGAATGTGGGGTGTGGATTGGCTCTGAGCCGCTGGGTCTGTGGGTCTACTGTCCACCCAGCAGCCTCAGGGACCCCGGTGCTATATCCAGTCTTTACAAAATCCAGCAGGGAAAATCAGCCTCTCTTGGCCTTTTCCAAAATCGTTCTAGTCTTCGCTCATCACTTTGCCGTCCATGGAAATTTCAGAATAAGCTCATCAAAGTTCCAAGAATCGGTGTCAGGATTCAGATCAAAATGGTAGTTGATTTGTAGCAGAATTCGGGGAGAATCGACGTCTTTGGAGCACTGGACCTTCCTGCCCGGGACCATGCTGAAATTCTTATGTCTTTCAATAGACTTTCCTAATTTTCCCCAGAAAGTTCACGCACATTTTTCAAAAGATTTATTTCTTGACATCTTATTATTCCCAGTGTCATTATAACTAATTCTTTTAAAAATTTTTTTGATGTAGATGGACACAATATCTTTATTTTGTTTATTATTATTTTTATGTGGTGCTGAGGATTGAACCCAGGGCCTCACGTATGCTAGGCAAGTGCTCTACCACTGAGCCACAACCCCAGCCCATAACTAATACTTTTTTTAAAAAATTGATTTTCTGCTTGTTCCCTCTGTAAGGAAAATGTCACATTTTACATGTTGGACTTACATGGCAATCTGGATGGAAATTCTCATGAAAACCTAATCAGATCTTTAAAAATCCCACCCTACCCCCCCAACCCCTGTGCTGGAGATCACACCAGGGCCTCGTGATTGCTGGGCCTGGGGCCCTACCTCTGCACTACCCTCCACCCCCGGCCCTCTTATAATTTACCCAAAGATTTTGCCACTAACATTGTAAATCCAAGACTGCCATGCAGACGTTTTTATCATTTGTGGAAAATGTTGGTTTTTTCCCCTTCCTTCCCAATATTTATAAATCTAACTCCTTGGCTCACCTGAATTCTTTGTTACAGAGCTGAATGGAATTGGTGTTGACCGGAGTCCTCCTCTTATTTCTGATTCTGAAGAAACAGCTTCTTTTTTTTTTTTTTTTTTTTTTTTGTACCAGAAAGTGAACCCAGGGGTGCTTAACCACTGAGCCACATCCCCAGTCCTTTTTTTATATTTAACTTAGAGGCAGGGTCTCACTGAGTTACTTAGGGCCTCGCTAAATGGCTAAGGCTGGTTTTGAACTTGAACTTCAACTGCCTCAGCCTCCCGAGCCTCTAGGAATACAGGCGGTCTAAGGGATGCTATTTACTGGAGTTGTGCACAGCGCCCTTGGATGTGTGTTGTGACTTGCTTCCTGACAAGCATGAGTTTTGGGTTATTGTTGTTTTTGTTTTATCATAAATGGGCATGAATTCCGTGTTCCATATATGGCTAACACATCAGAGATGTGAACTTGCTTTTCACGACTTTTACATTATTACAAATATGCTTTCATCTTGCTCCATCTATCAACTCCGGAGAACACCGTGTTGAATCTGCGGCCATGATGGGACTCTATGCACCTGGTCATTCTACCACGTTTTGATTTTTGCTTTATAAACTTTTCAGCGGGATCATCAGATGCACCGGCCTTGAACGTCATTCCATCTCTCTGAAGACTTTAACCTTTCATTAAAATGGCAGCCAACTCCTGTTAGGTCTTTACCGTATCTCAAGGTCCAACAGGGAGCTGGCACTTAAAACATTTCTGGAAAAAGGAAGTCCTTGAACAGTTGTGTGGCCCAGAGGGCCGAAGAGTCAGGTCCCAGCCTCAGAGTTCTCCAGTGTGACTGGCCAGGGGACGTCCCTGTCCCCCAACCTGCTCCCTGGGCCAACTGCCTCAGACCCCACTTCAGTGCCACTCACCTCCTCCCTCCTCCCATGGGGAGCTGACCTCCCCCTCCCCCAAGAGGCTCTGCTGGGGCAAATTCAGGGCTCAGAGAGGGGACTCTGTCCCAGGAGATCCCCATGAAGAATGTGGGCCTCTATTCATCAGGGACTTTCCTATCTAGAAAACCAGCATTCTGTCTCCAAGGCCACGGCTGTGCCCCAACATGCCCAGTCACCAGGCCCAGCCAGGCTCCTCTTGTCCCCAGGTCCCAGGAGCCCTCTCTGCCAGTGCTGGGAGCTCCACTGGCACCCTCTGGCCAGGTGAGGAGTAGAGGAAGATCCTCCTGTCCCAGCAGGTGTCCCCCCCTCCTCCCCTCTCTCTCCTCCCCCTTCCTCCCCTCCTCCTCTCCTCTTCCCCTCCTCCCCTCCTCCTCTCGCCTCCTCTTCCCTCCTCCTCCCTTCCTCCCCCCTCCTCCTTCCCTCTTCCCCTCCTCCCCCCTCCTCCTCTCCCCTCCTCCTTTCTTCCCCTCCTCCCCCCTCCTCCTTCCCTCTTCCCCTCTGTCCTCTTCCTCCACCTGCAGCTCAAGACCCAGGGCCCGCCTTTTGCCTTCAGTCCTCCAAGGCCACCCCATTCTGGTGGCTCCCACACCTCACACTCAACATCTCCCCCTCTCCCAGCGCAGTAGACACAGCCAGCCCAGTCCCCTAAGTGGGACCTACAGCACGCATTAAATACTTTCTGAAAGTTTTTTTGGTAACATTTTAGAATTTCCACAATACACTCAAATGATAGTAGGGTCGCAGGTTTCCAGGCAAAGGAACAAAGACACTGATCACAAGTCTGCCCCCAGCCCCTCCCAGTCTCTCCCGCCACCTCCACTACCCCCCTGTTCTGTCCCTCCAGGGCTCTTCCAGCAGCGGAAGGAAAATATATATCTGTATTCTTTATTCTCTTCCTCTCACCCCAATGTGTTCTGCCCCCGTTGTTAGCTCGGGCCTTGGAGTTTGTTCCCTATTCTTGAATCAGGAGCTACGAACAGCGGCCCACGGCGCGGCGGGGGGCTTCCCATTGAAGGCAGAGAGGCCGCCCGACCCCCAGCCTAAGCTGCGCTTAGCAGTGCGCATGCGCCCGGTGCTGCGGGGGGCGGGTGTGTGGCTAACGGCCCTGGGGGAGCCGCGCCGTGCGTCCTCCCACCGCCGTCTGTCCTCCCACCGCGGGTTAGGAAACTCCTCTCCCCCATTCCCACCAACAGCTTCGGAGGAGCACTATTTTTGACTCTGCAATCGGCAAAACTACTGGGTCGTCTTTTCATTTGCATTTCTTTCCACGGGAGGCAGCGTCTCTTGAGGATTAAGAGCGTGCTTCCCTTCCCCTGCAGGACCTTTTCACACCTTAGCCCTCTCCTCCTCAGCCGGGTTGCGCTTTCGCACTGATTTCCATACTGGGGAAATGAGCCACTTCTTCTGTCAACAGCCAAGCCCCCCCGCCCCCCCCCCCACTGGCATTTTGACCGCGCCCAGGGGGGGCTCAGGCCCGGGCTGCAGCTCAGCGAATGCACCTTCTCTGTGGCTGCTGGGGTCACCGGGCGTCGCAGACGGGCTTCTGCCCTGGGAAGGTGTATTTCTGAGACCTTCCCTGGCTTCTTCTCTGGGTCGGCTTCGCACACCTACGGGCCTGGCGCTCCCTCACGGTCCCATTCCTCCACCGGGGCAGGTCCAACGTCACGTGTGTCCTCCCCACCCACGACAAGCCCCGTGGCTGCCCGGGACCGTGTGCGGGCGTGTTGCGGGGAGCTCTGGGCAGGGCTGGGATCCCGGCACTTTTCCTCCTTGGGGACCCAACATCCAGGCAGCCTCAGGGGGCTGGGGCTTCTCTCTCCTAAGTAGCTCTTGACCCTGCGACCTCCTCCCGCCGTCCTCCTCCTCCTCCCGCCCTCCTCCTCCTCCTCGCCGTCGTCTCCTCCCCCAAGTCCTCCTCCACCCCCCTGCCGTCCTCATCCTCCCTCCTCCTCCTCCCAACGTCCTCCTCCCGCCGCTGTCCTCCTCCCCCCCCCCGACCTCCTCCTCCCCATCCTCCTCCCCATCCTCCTCCGTCCTCCTCCTGCCTCAGCTGGGAGCCCGCCTCCCTTCCAGGTAGAGGCGCCGGGCGCGGGGATGCGGGCTGAGCTCCGCTGACCCCTGGCCCTCGGCAAGCCCCCTCTGCACTGTGGTGGTTTAGGGCGGAGGTCCCCCCAGGAGTCCCCAGCTCCGGGTCCCACCTCGAGCTTCCCGGCGCCACCCCCTGGCCACGCCCCCGGAAGTTCTCCCGAGCCGCGCTCACCTGGCCCTGTCACCTGCCAGTGTGCCCCCAGCCGCTCTCCTGCCCGCCCGCTTCCTGCCTTCGCTCCCCCACGGTGGGCCCCGCACCCCCGCACCCCTAAGCCCTGCCCGGCCCCCGTGAGGAAGCAAGAGGCACAGCCCGGAGCCCCTGCCTCCTGTCAACCCGCGGCCTTTGCGGGTCTGGGCCGCCCGGGGAGACTGGGGTGGGCTCCGGCCGGGCACCGGCGCCCGTCTCCTCCGACAGCTGAGCTAGGCCTCGTCTGGCCTCCCAAACGACCCCCTCCCCGACGTCCCAGGCCATTGGACCCCCGGCTCTGCCTTTCTCCTCCTGCCCTGTCCACGTGTTGGCGTCGGGGGCTGGACCTCCGGAGGGGAGGGTGACACCTTCCTCCGGGCCTGGGAGGAGGGAGCGAGCTGGTCACGGGCACCTCCCCTTGCGGCGACGCGGTAAGGAGAGAAGGAAGTCCCTTCTCGCGGAGCTCTCATTGCAGCCGGCGACAGACAAGAAACAGGACAGCGGCAAACAGTGACGACGCCCGGCGGGGACAGGCGTCGTGAAGGAAGCAGCAGAGGAAGCTGAGACGGGCTGGCTGCGGAGGGGAGACCGGACGGAGACCACCCCGAGCTCCAGCTCCGCAAAGGGACCGCGCTGCGAGCGGCCTCACTGCCAAGGACAAAGGCCCTGAGGGGGGAAGAGCTGGGGGGCTCCAGGGTCCCCTCCGGGCGGGCCGGGGTGACCTGCCGGAGGCGGAGCGCGGCCCGGGCCGTGAGCCGAGAACCCGCGTGGCCCGGACCCGGACGCGCCCTCTGGCGGCCGTGCGAGGATCGACCAGGTGGCTCCGCTGCAGGGTCCCGAGCCGAGCTGGCGGCGGAAGGTGTATATTTCGTAGCGTCTAAACGATTTGCTGATGGATCTAGAACGATTCCAGGCTCATTCTTGACAACTTGACAAATGCAGGTGTCACTTAACCAGGAGCCGGTGACGGTGATGGAGGGGGGTCTTGGAATCGAGGTTCCATCCTGGACATGGGGTTGAGAAGCCTGTGAGGTAGCAGAGCATTTGCTATGAACTGAATGTTTATGTTCCAAAAATTCACCTTGAAACCTGGCCCCCAAGGGGACGGTATTTGGAGGAGGGGCTTTGGGAAGTGATCAGGTCACCAGGATGTGAATGGAGCCCTCAGAACAGAATTGGTGCTGCTATAAAGAGCACCACAGGGCACACTGACAGAAGAGAGCCATCCCTCGCAGACAGACTCGCCAACACCCTGATCTTGGACTTCCAGCCCCCAGAACAGCGAGAAGTGAATTTCTGTTTTTTCCATTTTGTCATAGCAGCCTGAACGGACTAATACAGTGTTGACTGGTTGATGGATTGACTGATTGAAATGGCATAATATTTGGGATTTATTTTACCCCAGCTCTATTAAGGTACTGACAAATTAAAATAGTATCTAGTTTCAGAGGACACTATGAAGTTTTGCTATATGTACACACAGTGAGGTGAAAAATTCAAGCTCATTAACATACCAGTCACCTCATATTTAGTTCTTTGATGATCTAATCCCTTAGCAATTTTCAAATACACATTTATAGAAACATAGTTGCCATATGTATAATATATCCCCAGCCCTCCTCCAGCCTGTCTAAGGGACTTGGTACCATCCTGGACCACTATTTCCCCTCCCTCCCCCACTCAGCCCCTGGAAGCCACCTTCTACTTTTTTCCTGTGAGTTCAACTCTTTTCTTCTCTAGATTCCACAGGTACAATCACGGGGTTCTCATCCTGGCTTATTTCACTTGACCCAATGTCCTCCAGGTTGATCCACATGTTGCAAAGGACAGATGTCTTTCTTTTTTTAAGGCTGAATAGTATTCCACTGTGCACTATGGACCACATTCTCTTCCTTCAGTCTTCAGTGGATGGCCACTTAGGTTACTGCCACATCTTGGCCACGGTGGACAGTGCAGCTGTGACCACGGGGGGGCAGATGTCTCTCTGACATACTGATGTCATTTTCTTTAGGATACAACCCAGGTGTGGAATTGCTGCATCACATGGGAATTCTATTTTCAATTTGAGGAACCTCCATACTATTTCCTGTGACAGCTGTACCAGTTCACACTCCCACCAACAGTGCCCAAGGCTCCCCTTTCCTCCACATCCTTCAGCCCATTTGTTACATTGTATCAATTTAGTAATCGCCATTCTAATAGGTGAAGGGCTCTCCCATTGTGCTCAACCACTGAGCCGTGTCCCCAGCCCCTTTTTGTATTTTATTTAGAGACAGGGTCTCCTTGAGTTGCTTAGAGCCTGTTGCTGAGGCTGGCTTTGAACTGGAGATCCTCCTGCCTCAGCCTCCTGAGCCCCTGGGATGACAGGCGGGCGCCCCCGCGGCGGCCTGTCTATTCAGTCTTTCTCCTCTGCGGCTGGACTGTGAGGCTTGTATATGTGGATATTAACCCCGGGTTTGCAGCACCCTCTCCTGTTCCACAGGTGGCCTCTCTGTCGGCTCTTCCCTTTGCCTGCTCAGACCAAGGCCGCAAGCCTTCCTCCTGTTTTCTTCCAGCGGCTTTCCACATTTAAGTCTGCCATCCACTGGAGCCCATTGTTGTGCATCACCAGAGGTGAGTTCCCGTGTCACCTGCATGTGGAGACCAGCTTCCCAATCACTGAAGAGACCCTGTCCTGTGTTGTTGGCAACTTTGTTGAAAACCAATTAACTGCAAATGCACGGACTTACTCCCAGGCCCCCGCTGTGCTCTGTTGGCCCTTGGGTGGGGTTTTAAGGCCATGCTTCCGTGACAGTGGCTCTGCAGGGTGTGGAAGTCAGGTAGGCTGAGGCCTCCAGCTTGGCTCGTGCTGCTCAGAACTGCTCTGGCTGATTGGGAGGTGGTGGGCCCTTGAGAAGTGAGGCTTTGTGGGAGGTTTTAGATGTGGATTAAAAGGGATGGTGGGACCCCAGCCCCCATCAAAGCCCTAAAGTAATGAAACCACCTGATCTTGGACTGGAATCTCCAGAACTGGAAGCCAAACCAAACCTTTTCTTTTCATAAATTGATTGCCTCAGGTATTTTGTTATAGTTAGACAAACCTCACTAAATACAGTCACCGAGGGAAGGAATGGCAGCCTGAGAGGCTGGAGGGCTGAAGATGCTGGCCCTGTGGCCTCCCGCAGGCTGCCTCTCTCTGTGCCTTGAGCTGGCTGTCCAGGGCCTTCCTAATACAACCAGCCCCCACATACCAGACCTGAGGCCCTGCGAAGGCAGGAGGCAGGATGCTTCCTGCTGCACACCTGTTGCCCAGAGTTTGAAACGTCTGGAAGTATATCCATGTCTCCTCCAGACTTCCCAGCCCTGCCCTCAGCCCCCCACCTTACCCAGCTTACTGGCCACACACCCAGGTCCACCCTTCCCGGCCCTTCCTCTCCACCCCCAGCCAGGAGCCCATTCCCAGGTCACCCTTCCTGCACCAGTCACCCAGCGCACCCTTCCTGCTTACTTCTTTGCCTGCCCAACCACAGGCTGACTGGTCCCTGCCCTGGAATCCAGACCTGCAGACTCCCCGCGCACCCGGGCTGCCTGCCCACGTGGCTGGAGGAAGTACCGCGGCCACCTCCCCCTTCCGCCTCGGCAAGGCCCTCGCTGACCCCCAGGGGGCGCTCTCCCACCCCGCCCACCGGTTCCCTCCTGCAGAGCAGACGGGCTCCCTCCGTCCAAACCCTTCCCAGGAGCCTCCAGCTTCCTTCCTCTCCCACTCAGGGCCGAGCAGGCTGGGTTCACATCCGCCGCCTCCTCTCACCGGCTGTGGGGCCACAACAAGCGGCTTCACCTCTCACCTGCGCTGACCGCGGCACCTCCCCAAGGAGCTGAGATGACGTGGGACACCCAGAAGGAGCCCGGCAAGTCCCAGGCGCTTGCGAACGGCCAGGCTGCCGTTGGCCTGAGTCTCTTTTCCCTTTTCATCTTTAATCTCTCTCCCCTTCTCTAGGGGGCTCCTCTGCTCTTTCTCCAATATCTTCGACTTTTTTTTTTTGGGGGGGGGGCTGCCCCTCACACACAGGCTCTCCCATTGCCTTAGCCCTTTTCTGTTACTATAATGAAATAACTGGACACTGAGCACTTATAAAGAAAAGAGGTTTATTTGACTCACAGTTTTGGAGGCTGAAAGTCCAAAAAGCATGGCACCAGCTCTTGTGAGGGCCCCCTGGCTGCATCGCCTCATGACGGATGGCACCACAGTGAAAGCTCATGCAAGAAGGGACAATCACAGGGCCAGACAGGAAGTCAGAGCAGCCAGGCAGTGGCCGGCCTTTTTTTAGGTAATGGGATGGAGCCCGGGAACACTCTACCATTGAGCTACCCCCCAGCCCCTTTTTAATTTTTATTTTGAGTCAGGGTCTTGCCAAGTTGCTGAGGATGGCCTTGAACTTGGGATTCTTGGCCTTCCAAGTCACTAGGATTACAGGCAGGTGCCACCACGCCTGGCTCAGGCTTGCTCTTCTGGAGCCTACGGGAGCTCAGGGTCCCATGAGAACCACCTTAATCTCTTCCAAGAGTAGACCTCCCACCAAGCCCCGCCCCTTAAGGGACCCACCACCTTGGATTCACCCCACTGAGCAGCAAGTCTCATGTCCCAAGACACCTCCACCAGACTTTGTCCCTGGGTCCCCTCCACCATCATTCCCAGCCTGATGACTCCTTGGGCACAGGCCCTCTAAAGAGGCGATGGGCTCCCACTCAGTCTCACCTGCGTCCTGGTGAGAAGGGGACGTGAGGCCACACACAGAAGGAAAACCAGGTTGAACACAGGGAGCCCATGGCCATCTGGACCAAGAAGAGAAGCCGCAGAAGAAACACCCTGTGACACCTTGGTCTTGAACGTCGAGCCTCCAGGGCAGAGGACAGTGCCACTCTCTGTGTTTGAGCCACTCAGTCTGTGACGGCCAAAGGGTTCCATTGGGGCTCCAAAATGTGACCGTCCCTCACCACTGCTCAGTGGAGGTGCCCCCTCCTCACCTAGGACGTCCAGATTCTTAAACCTAAGGTCCTTCTGGGTCTCTCTACCACTAACGCTCTGGTGCGGGAACTAGAAACCACCTCCCCAGGTGCCTTCAGCAGGAGGAGATTTGACACAGGGGATTGGGTGCTCGAAAAATCCTGCGACGTGCTCAGTGGGTGGTCGCTGGGGTGGGCGCAGGCATGGCTCCCAGAAGACCCCGGAAGTGACCTGGGGTTGCTGCTACAGACTCCGCAACATAGAGGAGAGAGTCAGGGGCCACTCCAAACTCACCACTATGACCGCCCCCAGGGGTTAGGAGGCTGCCATTGCTGCTGTTCCCCAGGAGCAGGTGCCCGGGTGCTGGGACACAGTCCAGCTGTGGCACACTCTCAGGCCCTCCTGCCAGCAGCAACCACAGGAGAACAGCACCCCCACATCTCCACGGATCCGCCTTCAGGCTCTAAGGGCACCCACAGCACCGCTGCAGGGGGCAGGAGACAGGCAGCCTCACTGGAAGGAAAGGGGCAGAGCTGGTCAGGGTGGGAGGCCACTCCCTCTTCAAAGGCTCCAGGCCCTGGCCTGACCTCCCCTGCCCCGGCCGTGTGCCCTCCTCTGCAGGTGCCAGGAGCCGCCAGCTGAGCCCCCCACTGCAAACAGCCAGTAATGCCACCGGGCTCCTGGCTCCTTCTGGTCCGGTCACAGTCTGCACTTGTCCTGAATCTCGTGCTGGCTTGTCACCTTGGAGCTGCAAGATGGTGGCACCTCCCAGCCCCTCCACGTTCCAAGCAGCAGGAAAGTGGAAGGGCCGGAAGTGGGAAAGCCAGCCTGCAGTCCCCTGAGAGGGTTTCCTGTCATTCAGGAAGGCCCGTCCTCCTCAGGGACTTCACCATTGGCCATAAAGGTCACATGTCATCCTTGCTGCAAAGGAGGATGGGAAGTAACGATTGAGGTTTTTGGGCTGTAGTAGAGTGCGAGAGGGATTGGGGGTGGCGTTGGGTGAGCCTGTTTTGAGTGCTCGCCGTGGCCGGGAGAGAATTAGTTGGCTCACGTAATCAGGTCGGCAGGCTTCAGGCATGTGTGGACCCAGAAGCTCTAAGATGTCATCCTGCCCCCCACTGCTGCTTGCCACCTCCACACTCACTGTCCTCTGCTGTGTGTGGCATAATAACGCTTGGGCTCCTCCTGGTGGCAACTCCAGACCCGCCCATCCCCACAGCTGAAAAGGAGTTGTCTCCCCTGGCCCCGCCCCCTGCCTTATTCCCACTAAAGTCCCAGGACTGAATCTCATTGGACCTGCTTGAGTCACATGACAACTCCTGGACCAATCATCACAGCCTCCACGACTGCTCGCCTTCTCCCTTCCTGGAGGTGGGGGCAGGGTCAGCACCTCATCAATCAGTCACAGGCCCTGGAAGAGCAGTGACCCCCCCAAAAGGTGGACAATACCTGAGTAAAATAAGAACACTGAGTAAGAAAGGACAGGTACCTCCAAATCCTCCTCCCTCGTCTTCCCTGACCACTCCATCTGGTCCTCCGGCCTCTGACTTCAGCCTTGCTCATGGGACCCCTCCCTCCCTCCCTCCCTTGTACTGGGGACTGAATCCAGAGGCACTTTACCACGAGCCACACCCCCATCCCTTTACTTTTTATTTTGAGACAGGGTCTCACTAAGTTGCTTACGGCCTCACCACATTGCTGAGGCTGGCTCAGCCTCCCAAGCGGCCGGGTGACAGGCGTGCGCCACCCCGCCCAGCTCCTGGGCATAGACATCATAACCAAGGCTCCCCGGATCCAAACTCGGCTGAAGCCCACGAGCAAGCTCCTCCCGGCCCATGACTCTGCGGCCATGCGCGCTGATGGTGCCCCAAGGTCTCCAGATCCTTAGATCCACCTGAGTGATCCTCAGCCCGGCTGCCTCCTGGGTTCCGCCAATAAGATCAGAGGAGCCTCCGGTCCCCAATGCATCACGCACCTGCGGCTGCTAGAAATCACCCCGGAATCCAGTGGCTCTGAACGACCCTCATTCCTTCTCTGGCAGGGTCCCGTGGTAGCTGAGAGCCAGGGCGGCTGTATCCAGAGCGTCCTCCTGTGGCCTCGCCGTGTGGCTTGAGCATGTCACACGTGAGCACCTGGATCCAGGAGAGAGGGTCCCCAGCCCCGGTGAAAAGGGCCAGATGGTGAGGGCGAGGTCCAGCCGGCACGAGGGCACCTCCGCTGCGTTCCACTGGCCAGAGCAAGCGCAGGCCCCGCCCAGACGCAAAGAAAGGAGATAAGCCCCGCCCCGCCAAGGGGGGAGCGGCGGGGAATTTGCAGCGGGTTTGATCCACCCGCACCCCCCAACTTGTCTGCACGTCTGTAGGAACAATAGGTCACCCTACGGCTTCCTGGCTGGGAACCTCAGGGCTGTCCCCGGCTCTGCTCATCCTCGGTGTTTGTGAGGCTGGTCCCCACCTACTCCCTTCTGGCCAGAGTCATTACACTATGGGCCCTTTGCTACCCCTAGAGACTGAGCCGCAGCGTCCCTGGCTCCATCCACAGGAACCGCTTCCTCAGCAACCTGCCTGCTTTTAACCTAACCAGGTCCCTCGCAGTTGTCGGGCAAGAGAGGGTGAACCTGGCTCCCAGGCCCCCACCACCCCTGCCACCTGGCTGTGTGACCCTGGGTGACTTACACAACCTCTCTGAGGTTCAGCCAAGCAAGATCATAATGGGATCCCAGAAAGTCTCCCCAGAGAGGTCCTTAGACACAAAGAGATCTCTCACCAGAGAAGGTTCCTTCCTTGTGTACTGTGGATCAGGTAAGAATCTCAGTGATGGCTGGAAACTCCCGGGCCGGGCCCACCTGCGTGGTGTAGTGGAGGTGCCCACGGGGTCTCCACCCCAGCGGGTGGCCGTCCAGCCACCCAGGACCCCCCTCTGCAAGCAAGTCTCACGCCCCCTCCACGCCCAGCCCCTCCCGGCTGCCCTGGGCAGAGGCCACCTCTACTGCTCCTATTCAGAGTGTCCCAAGAAGCCACCGCAGTAGAAAGGCCCGTGGGTTGTCTGCAGCCACCAGGGCTCCTCAGTTGCCCTCCCTCCACCCTGGGGAAGGCAGGGACGTGCACTGGGGGACAAGGCCCAGCCACATGACTCAGATCACTCACGGGGCAGGCGCCTGGCGAGACGCTCCACCCTCAGGGCCTTGGTTCCTCCTGGACGAAGTGAGCAAAGTCACGTCCCTGTCACCGACATCCCTGAGATCAGGCGACCAGTGGGGGTTGAGTCCTCGGAGAGTGTACAGGGACGTGTTCAGGGAGTTTATGACGAAGGCTTCAATGTAAAAATGTGTCCACTGGGAGGGGGTGCCGATGGACCCCGCAGTCACGGCTTCTGAACGCGGAGCGCCCGCTGTCAGCCGCTGTGGCCTGTGACAGGCGGACACGAGACAGAGGGAGGGATGGACGAGGTGGAGGGAGCCCCCTCCACCTGCAGCCCCCTCCCACCAGGCTCACGCTAGGACGAGGCGAGTGAGGAGCCAGACCACAGGGGAAGATGGGAACCCAGCAGCAGGATGGACCATGGCGTGCTGTCTGCAGAGATCACAGTGGGGCTGGGGCTGGGCTCCGAGGTAGAGCACTTGCTCGCCTGTGTGAGGCACTGGGTTTGATCCTCAGCACCACAAACAAATACAGTAAAGGTATGCAGCTGGGGGCAGCGGCGCACACCTGCAATCCCAGCAGCTGGGGAGGCTGAGGCCGGAGGATCGCGAGTTCAAAGCCAGCCTCAGCAGAAGTGAGGCGCTAAGCAACTCAGAGAGACCCTGTCTCTAAATAAAATACAAAATAGGGCTGGGGGTGTGGGTCAGTGGTCGAGAGCCCTGAGTTCAATCCCCAGTGCCAAAAGAAAGAGAAAAAAAACCTATGCTCTCCATTTCCAATACCAAAAAAAGAAAGAAATCAAAACCAATGCAAAACATCATGTTGAACAAGTTTTTAAGTAAAGGTAGACCCTGCCCAGCTGTGGAAGGACCTGCCCTGTCCGCCCCACCCTGTCCAGGCCCATCGACCACCCCCGGAGCTCTGGACCCCACAGTCCCCTCAGCCCCACCTCCGCCACCTGCCACCCTCTCACCCCTGAG